TTCTGCTTTTCTTCTATTCATATTGTGATTGAAAAGACTTGTTTATCCCAATACAGGTTTTTTTTTTTTTTTTCCTATAGTCTTCCTTAACTTCTTCACATAAATTAAAGTTCTCCCTTCATATGCTTTCTTAACAATCAGTTTACATTTACCTTTGACATACTTTAATGGGACACAACTTAAATGAGAAAAATTTGAGTGACATGTATTAAGAGAAAGAAACGTCAAACATAGTTAGAATAGAGACATCTAAATAATAACTTAAAGATCTTAGATATTAAAGAAGTGCTGATCTAATTTTTTTAAAAGGGGGAGATAGCAGTAACTTTATTTAAATGAGAAGATGCAAAACCATAACTACTCATTTTATTGCAAAAATCATAAAGTTTGCAATATTGTAAACAAGCTATTTCCTCGGCAAGCTGTAAACAAAAGAAACCAGAGTATGTAAGTATGTGTACAGGTGACGGTTAAAGATTGATTATCTTTTTAAAGCAAAGAAGAGATAATCAAATTAATTAGTAAATAAAAAATATTCCTATCATGGCCTAAGCAGGAAAGAAGCAGCTACCAACACTTCTCAATTTCTACTAGTCTAGAAATAAAAATTTAGATATTTAGCAATATTTTTAGTTGGTTTAAGGAGGACATATTTGCTGATTACAAAATTAAATTTATAGTTGGGATCTATCAAATCTACTTTATGAGCTTCTTATGTAGAATTCATTTGCACAAAAATGCTTCCATAAACTATTTTGTAATGTTGCTGCTTCACTCTTGTGCTTCCATGTTTCTAATTTATGAATGTGTAGAAATCGAACATGAGATATATTTAAAATATTACTTCAGAGTGCATAGTAATTATTTATGTGGCAAGTTATAGTTATGAATTACTAAACAAACTAATTAAATCTTAATTGTACTACTACAATAGACTGGGAAGATCATACATATTGTTATTTTATATCAAATATATTTGTTATAGAAGAAACAATATTCTTGACAATATTTTCAGAATTGCTCAAAATCAAATTTGGTTTTGGATTCTTTTTCTCTTTCTCTAAATTTGAACTGACATGCATAGTAGTTCTGTAGTGTTTTTTTTTCTTTCCTCCCCCAAAAAATCCCAAACAATGGCACTTTGTTACAGTACTGATGGACAACTTCTAACAACTAATTATTCTTTCACTAATAAGAGATGTTTATAGATTAGTTCACAGCTGATCTTTAGACAACCCAGAAAATATTTTTTCTCTTCCTTTTGGTCTCTGCAATAATGCAGAAAGTCAGCCTTTTAAGTTTTTAATGTCATTTTTTAGCAAAAACAAATCAGTCAATGGATTTAGATTATGTGGAGAAAAAGCTTAAAATTATTGCCTACAATAATGGGTTCTTTATAAATATTCCTAATTCACTTATATGCTTATCTCCATTGTCATGAAAAGTTTCATCACACCAATTCAATTAATGTTAAAAATAAATAAATCTTAAAGATCTTTCATCTTTTAGATTAACGAGGATTTTAAAAATACAGATCGTAAATTGAATTTTAATTTAGAATAATTTTGAATATGTTTTACAGGAAGGTAAGGGTATTTGCATTACCTACAGTTGATCAATACATTTTCCTCATTATTTTTACTTCAACATAATTGATCTCACATCAGTTCTCTTCTGTCATGATTATTTTAGCACAGAGATTTATTATTCAACTATAGTGTTTTAATTTTAATAGAGTGAAAACAAATAGGAGGTGCTCAAAAAATTAAATTAGAATTTCAACTGATTTCTCCTTTGCAAAATTTAGAATTCTCCATAAATATTATCAATTACAAACACAGGCTATGCAATATTCAAATAGTTTCTGAATTAACTAAACATGTATTCTTTTAGCTAGTGTCCTGATAAAGTATCATATGAAATAAACCTCAAAGAGAAAAAATAAATCAGGTGTAAAATGTTATATAAAAATATTATTTTACTAGGAAATAATAATTTTTTTTCATTAGCATAACTCTTACTTCCATCTATTGGATAATGTGCTATGCGTGTATAATAAGTGTTTGTTGCAAATTTACTTCTTAATGAAAAAAAATCAGATAAACGTCAGAAGTATGCAGATGAGCAGGTCATGAATGTCACAGTGTATTGAAAATACAAAGGTGGTAAAAATATTAAAATTATTAATTTATCAATAGCTACACATAAAAATGCATGTGAAAAAGAAAGATTCAAGTTCAGGAATTTAATTAACCTTTGCTAATGTAAAGAGGACTAAATGATACATGTTAGATATTCACAAATTTCTATCGAGATGTATGTAATTAACTCTTTTATTAATTGTTTTTGTTTTCATTATAGTCATGTAAAACTTGGGAGAATAATCCCTTCTTGTAATAGTCTTTGAGCTCTTAAGTCTCTCTGAAAGTACGCCAGCTATGATGTATGCAAATTCAAAAATCTTACCCTTTCGTCCTGATGTAAGAGCTTGGAAATAACTAACTGACAGTACTAAATGGCTTCTGCACCAGTTTATGTATTCAAGTGATCTTCTTCAACCTGGTCTAGGGAGAGGTGGGGAGGTTACCTGCTTCAAATTTTATATAATGAAACACAAAAGATAGCGGGTAGGGAGGTAGCAAATATCAGAAAATCAGAATTGGCAGCATCAGCAAGCTGAATTGAGGTAGTTTCCCCATTGTTCTGTGAAACTAGCTTCTTATTGACAGAGTTGTTTTCATATAGATTATCGTTGGATTGGCAAAACAAACATAAGTGCTCATAATCCACAGACCACATTTATTTCTGAAGTCACCTTAAATATGTCTAAAAATGGTTCTTTCGTAACCAAATGTATTCTATGTACCAGAAAGGCTAACCATCTTTCAGGTGCTAATATCGCCATTGTGTTGTATGAGAAAACCTAATTACCATTTAAAGCTATGGTTCTCCTACAATTTAAAGAAAATCTGTAGACTTAAAACTATTCATGTCAAGTGACTAAAAAGGAATGATGATGCATAAGATATTTTGAGGTTATATTAAGGTTATAACGTATTCTGACCCAGCACAGAATATTGTCTTTCGTCATATCTTTTTAAACTATATATATAGATTACTGGCTATTCCCTAAACCACTCTTTCTCATATTAAGAAATTAATTTATAGGTGGATGGTGTTTAAATTTGGGGGACATTAAAAGGAAAAAGAAAAAAATCACCAAGATATTACATACTACAAGATAAATTATAATTTGGCAAATTCATTCTAGCTTTGCCCTAGGAGAGGCTCCATGCTTGGACACTGCTGGTAAAGGTTTTTCAGTACTTGGAGATCTAGAAGGTTTATTTGAAAGGATTTTCCCTCCCACTTTCTTCTTATATAGAACAAGAAAAAAAAAATAGCATTAAAATGTCTTAGACTATCTTTATAAAACAGATATTCTCTTTTCCTTTATTCTTGCAGCATTTTGCCAATTGAGTAAATTTAAATTTCTAACATCAAAAAAGAGCTTAAAAGGGAAGAAAAAATACGATCCACCCCCCTCCATGAAGTATTTAAATCTCTGATTGAAGCTGTTTTTTATAATAAGCATAGAGACTGCAGCTGGTTTATAAATAAGCACATAATAACCTATATATTAACCTGCTCTAAAGTAAGTTATGCATCATATTTCAGCCAACATAAAAATGCCCATCCTATTTTTCTGGTTTACTCTGTCTGCAAAAGCTGTATAATTTTGTGCTTAGTTTATTCATTTAGACAGATTGATTTCTTTTGCATGGCTCATTTGGGCCATAGAGGATTAGCAAAGTTTATATACTGGAAACAGAAAGAAAGAAAGGTGAGGAAAAAAAGAATAATTAATCATATAGTACATACATCAATACGGTATCTACTAAATCTCAATCAGTTGTTTATTGGTTGGCAAACAAGTTTCACTTTTACAACAAATATTAGTAATGAGGTCATCCAACTTTGAGACCATACAAAATGAACCATAAATTTAAAAAAAAAAAATTATATGTGCTGCTAATATACCTCTTGTATTCCGACATCACTTAAAATCTTGTCAAATAAATAAATTTTCATGTTAATAAACAGGTTTTTTTTTTTAAATCATTTCAAAATAGCCTGACCTTTCAATTCTTACTATGAGGGAGTAAATTTCCTTTAAAAGTTGATAGTGCAAGTGCACACTTGGGAATCAAACTGAGCATTCAGCACCTTAATGCCTATGGGATACTGTTTTTTTCACATGCAGAAGCCCCGCTAGTTCTATTGATACCTCCTGACTTCTAGAATCATAGCTACTGTCTTGGTGATGAACTGCTTGCCAAATATGCTTGCATTATAACAGATATGCACTCTAAACATAAAAGTTCATCCTGCTCTATTTCACAAAAAATGTTCTTGGAAATATCCTGACTGAATAAAGATATATAGTGAGGGAAGGAAGTCTAATTTTATTTATTTTATTTTATTTTTTGTAAAAAATAATTTGTTTGCATTACTAGAAAATGATTCTTATAAAGTGATAGTTTCATTTATTTATTTATTTATTATTTATTTATTTATTTTTTTGCCAAGTGAACTTAGAGAGAGACAGAAAGAACGAGAGAAAGAGAAAAAAAGAGAGAGAGAGAGAGAGAGAAAAAAAGAAAATGAAGGAAGAAAGGAAGGAAACTTTGCTCTCTTACTGGTAGACAAACTTGCAAGACCAGCACGAAAGTAAAAGAAAATTTCTTTTTTTTTTCCACTACATTAACAGGACTCAAATTCTGGAGGAACAGAAAGCAGACTATATATGCAATCTAGTATCTGTACATTACATAGAAATTGTTCAGTTCTTTTTTTCTGCCATTAGTTTTATCATCAGTTAAGACAGTAAATCATAAAATATGCATTTAGCATATAATTCTA